GTTTTGATTTACATTTCCCTGATAAGTGATATTGAGCATCTTTGCATGTGTATGTTGGCCATCTGTATGTCTTCTTTGGAAAGATGTCTGTTCATGTCTTCTGCCCATTTTATAATTGGATGATTTTGTTTTTTGGGTGTTGAATTTGATAGGTACTTTATAGATTTAAACACTAACCCTTTTTAGGATGTGTTATTTGCAGATAGCTTCTACCATTCCAAAGGTTGCCTTTTAGTTTTATTAACTGATTCCTTTGCTATGCAGTAGCTTTTTATTTTGATGTAGTCCCAGTATTCTATTTTTGCTTTTCTTTCCCTTGCTTCAGGAGATATATCTAGAAAAATGTTGCTATGGCCAATGTTAGAGAAATTATTGCCTTGCCCTCTTCTAGGATTTTTGTGGTTTCATGTCTCACATTTAGGTCTTTTTTTTTTTTTTTTTTTTTTTTTTATTTGTGATAGTCACAGAGAGAGAGAGAGAGAGGCAGAGACACAGGCAGAGGGAGAAGCAGGCTCCATGCACCGGGAGCCCGACGTGGGACTCGATCCCGGGTCTCCAGGATCGCGCCCTGGGCCAAAGGCAGGCGCCAAACCGCTGCGCCGCCCAGGGATCCCCTCACATTTAGGTCTTTAACACATTTTGAGTTTATTTTTGTGTACGGTAAAAGAAAGTGGTCCAGTTTCATTCTTTTGCATGTAGCTGTCCAGTTTTCCCATAACCACTTGTTGAAGAGACTGTCTTTTTCCCCATGGCATATTCTTGTTGAATACCAATTGATCATATAATCATGGTTTCGTTTCTGGGCTTTTTATCCTGTTGGGCTGATCAATGTGTCTATTTATGTGTCAGTACTGTACTGTTCTGACTACAGCAGCTTTGTTATATAACTTGAAATCTGGAATTGTGATACTTCCAGCTTTTTCTTTCTCAAGATTGTTTTGGCTACTCAGGCTCTTTTTTGGTTTCACACAAATTTTAGGAATATTCTCATTCTGTGAAAAATCCCTGTTTTTTTTTTTAATCCCTGTTTTGATAGGGATTGTGTTAAATGTGTAGATTGCTTTGGGTCATACAAACATTTTTATAATATTTGTTTTTCCAATTCCTGTGCTTGGAATATCTTTCCATGCATTTGTGTCATCTTTAATTTCTTTCACCAATGTTTTATAGTTTTCTGAGTATAGGTCTTTGGCCTCCTGGGTTCAATTTATTCCTAGGTATTTTATTCTTTTGGTGCAATTGCAAATGGGATTGCTTTCTTAATTTCTTTCTGTTGCTTCAGTATTTGCATATTAGAAAGGCAATAGATTTCTGTACATGGATTTTGTATCCTGTGGCCTTACTGAATTTATCATTTCTAGTAGTTTTTTTGTTAGCATCTTTAGGGTTTTCTATATATAGTATCATGTCATCTGCAAAGAGTGAAAGTTTTCCTCTTCTTCCTTACCATTTTGGATGCCTTTGATTTCTTTCTGTTGTCTGATTGCTGTGGCTGGGACTTCTAGACCTGTATTGAGTAAAAGTGGTGAATGTGGACCTCCTTGGCATTCCTGATCTTAGGGGAACAGCTCTTAGTTTTTCACCATTGAGTATGATGTTAGCTGTAGGTTTTTCACATCAGACCTTTATTATGTTGAGGTGTGCTCCCTCTAAACTGCTTTGTTGAGGGTTATTATCAGGAATGGATGCTGTACTTCGTCAAATGCTTTTTCTGCATCTATTAAAATGATTATATGGTTTTTATCTTTTCTCTTATTGATGTGATGTATCACATTGATTTTGCAAAATACTGAGCCACACCTGCATCCTGGGAATAAGTCCCAGTTGGTGAATGATAGTTTTAATGTATTGTTGGATTTCATTTGTTGAGGTTTTTTGCACCAGTGTTCACCAGAGATGTTTGCTTGTAGTTCTCTTTTTTTGTGGTGTCTTTATCTGGTTTTGGTATCAGGGTGATGCAGTCCTAGTAGAATGAATTTGTCAGTTTTCCTTCCTCTCTCCTGACTCCATTTTTTACAAAAGATTTTATTTATTTATTTATTTATTTATTTATTTATTTATTTATTTATTTGACAGAGAGAGCACAAGTAGGCAGAGGAGCAGTCAGAGGGAGAGGGAGAAGCAGGCTCTCGAGAGCCTGGCCTGGGGCTTGGTCCCTGGCCACGCAGGTGCCTTTTTCCTTATCGAATTATTGCTCTACCGAGGTCCTTAATGGTTGTTGAATGAAAGCAGTGAGAACAGACTCAATCTGATAGGGGAAAGCATTTAGTCTCTCACCATGGAGTATGATGGTAACTATAGGTTTTCATATGCATTTGTTACCAGTTTTAAGGATGCCATTTATACTCATTTGCTGAGAATGTTTATCACAAATGGATGTTGAATGTAGTCAAATGTTATCTTTTGCATCTATTGAGATCCTCATGGGCTTTTTCTTTTTTCCCTCCTTAGTGGTGGATTACACTGCTTGATTTTCAAATGTAGAACAAATTTTGCTTTGACCTTACTTGGTCATGATGTGTTATTCCTTCATAGTGATGGATTCAACTTGCTAATATTTTGTTGAAGACTTTTCAAATTTATTTTTCTTCATTGTTTTGTCTGGTTTTGTTGTCAGGGTAACGCTGGCCTCATAAATGAATTGGGAAGAGATTGAGTAGAACTGGTATTTTTTCCCCCCCTTAAGTGTCCAGTAGAATTTATCAGCGAAATTATCTGAGCATGAAGTTTTCTTTGTGGGGACTTTTAAAACTAGGCCTCCAATTTCTTTAATAAATACTGGGCTACTCAAGTCATATATTGTTTTTAAGCGAGCTTTTGTAGTTGAATGCCTTTTAAATCACCCGTTTTATCTAAGTTATCAAATTATTAGCCTTACATTCCTGATTTTTCCTTACTATCCTTTTAATATCTTTGATATCCGTAGTGACTTTTCATTCATTCTCAATATAAATAATTCACGTCTGCCTTGTTCTAGATCAGTGTGGCTAAAGGTTTTTACATTTTATTGAAATTTTCAGAGAACTAGCTTTTAGTTTCATGTATGTTCTATATTTTTCTCTTTTCTATTTAACTGGTTTCTATTTTATCATTTGTTTCTTTCTGCATATTCAGATAAAACTTGCTCTTTTCCAGGTTTTTAATATAGAAACTTTAATTATTAAGACTTTTATTCTTTTTTAACTAGAAGCATTTAAGGTTATAAAATTTCCCTCCAAGTACTGCTTTAGCTGCATTCAACACATTTTGATATGTTGTATTTTCATTCCATGCAAAATATGTACTAATTTCTCTTGCCATTTCTCCTTTGGCTCAAGGGTTATCTAGGAGTGGATTGTTTAGTTTCCAAATCTTTGGGGACCTTCTGAAAATCTTTGTGTTACTGATTTCTTGTTTAGTTCCAGTCTGTTCAGACAACCTACTTTGTATGGTTTCAGTCCTTTTAAATTTGTTAATATTTGTTTTATGGCCCACTATATTGTCTATCTAGATGAATGTTTGATGCTCACTTGAAAAAAAATGCTTATTCTACTTCTGGGTGGAGTATTCTATTAATATCAATTAGGTCAAGTTAGCTGAAGGTGCTGCTCAAGTCAACTGTATTATTGCTGATTTTTTGGGGGCGGGTATTTGTTCTATCAAATACTAAAAGAACATTGAAGTCTCCATATATAGTTGTGTGTTTGTCTGTTTTTTCCTTTTAGTCCTATCAGTTGTCCGTTACATAACTTGCTCTATTACGTGCAAAGGTATTTAGGACTATTAGGTCTTCTTGATGAATTGGCACCTTTATCCATAGATAAGTGCTTCTCTTTACCTTTGGAAATATTCTGAAGTTATCTTTGTTTGACATTAATATAATCTAACTTATTTTTGACTAGTGTTCACATAGTAAAGTAAATATTTTCCCATTCTTTTATTTTTAATATATCTGTATCTTTATGTTTATTTTTTTATTTTTTAATTTTTGTATCTTTATGTTTAAAGTGACACCTTGGGATGCCTGGGTATCTCAGTGGTTGAGAGTCTGTCTGCCTTCGGCTCGGGGCTTGGTCCTGGGTCTGGGGATAGAGTCCCAGATGGGGCTCCCTCTGAGGAGCCTGCTTCTCCCTCTGCCTATGTTTTTGCCTCTCTCTCTGTGTCTCTCATGAATCAATAAATAAAATCTTAAAAAAAAATAAAGTGACATCCTTGTGGATGGTTTTTTCTTTCAATCTGACAATCTCTACCTTTTAATTGTGTTAGATTATTTATATTTTATATAATCATTGCTATGGTTGGATTTATATCTCCATCTTGCTAGTTGTTTTCTACTTATCCTATCTCTGCTTTCATTCTGTTTTCCTATGTTCTTTCAAATTAGTTGGGTATTTTAAATAATTCCAACTGTCTCTATTATTGGCTTATTAGTTACATGTAATCTTGTATTTTTCTTTAAGTGTTTGCTTTGGATTCACAATAAACATCTTTAACTTTTCACATTTAACCAAGTGAATAAGTTTTTCAAAGATTTATTTTAGTGTGTGTGGGGGAGGGAGGGAGAGAGAAAGAGAGAGAGAGAGAGAGAGAGAGAGAGAGAGAGAGAGAGAGAGAATATCTTAAGCCACCCAGGTACTCCAAAGTCAACAAATTTTTATTTAAGGATTTTTTTTTATTTAAGGGATTTTACATGTGATTCCTTCCACTGCCAATTACTGTAGTTCCTCCAAAGTCAGAATTATAATCTTTAAAATAGCTCTTTTAAAAAGAACTTTATTTAGTCCACAGTTGTCACTATCAGTTCTGTAATCTTTGAGATTCAGTTTATTTACTTCAGGGCCATGTTTAGGGTTAGTAGATGGATCTGGCTGGTTCTCAATTTCAAATATCCTCAATGTGAATGAGTTCAAATCACTTTCACCCCTAAACTATTACACTCTAGAACTATACAGATTGTTGGGATATGCCAATATCTAAGATTTTAAAATGTTTCTATTAGGTCTTTCACAGAGTTTTAGCAGATATATCTTGTAGTTCTTTCAGAAGGATCTAACACACAGTTCTGTGAATAAAGGAAACTATGAGGTGTTTCCAACAATGTAGATCTATAGAAAAAGCCCCATTGGGACAGACCTCAACCAAATAATTTATCTTCTAATAGTATAGTTTCATTTCTTCTGTTCTATCCTTTGTGCTATTGATTTACTTTTTGCCTCTCTGTATATTATTAACCTCACAATGCATAGTTACTACTTATGCTTTAGACAACTAATAATGTTTCAAAAATCCTAAACAAAAATAAAAAAAAATCTATCTCCACTTTTTGCCATCTTTAGGACTCTTCAATCCTTTGTATGAATCCAAATTGCAATCTAGTTTCAATCTCTCTGCCAGAACAATTACCCTTTAACATTCATAATGCACAAGAGCTGATAATGCATTCTCTTTGTCTAAAAAATTTTTATTTAATCATTATTTTTGGAAGATATTTTTCTGGGCATAAAAATTCCGAGTGGACTTTTTTGTTGTTGTTGTGGTTTATGCACTGTAAGACATTGTCACTTATGTTTTCTTCAGGTTTAGAATTTTTTTCTGAGAAAGTTTGCTATCTTTCTTCTTTATTATATAAGGTCATTATTTCTTAATTCCCTGATTGCTGTCTAGTTTTTCTCTTGAATATTGATTTCCAGCAGTTTGATGTGTGTGTGTGTGTGTATATGTGTGTGTGTGTTTAATTCTGTTTGGAGTTCTCTGAGCTTCTTGGTTTTGTGGTTCATGAATTTTGAAAAATGAAAAATTTTACTGATTCAATGAAAAATTTTTATCTTTTCCTCTTTTGTAATGATTTCACAAGATCTTGAATGTGTTTTTCCCTCTCTTTTTTTCTCTTTGTGCCTCAGTTTGGATAATTTCTATTTACCTATTTACCTATTTTCAGATTCACTAAATCTTTTCTCTTCTTTGTTGAGTATGCTGATAAACCCATTAAAGGAATATTTCATATCTGATATGTTTTTATTTCTAGAGTTTTCATTTGACTTAAAATTTTCATCAATCTGCTGAAATTCTCCATCTGTTGTTCTTGTTAAATTAGTTTTCATTTTTTTTTTGATAAATACACAGTAGTGGAATTACTAGATCATATGGCATTTCTATTTTTAATTTTTTGAGGAAACCCTGTACTGTTTACTAGAGTAGTTGTGCCAGTTTCCATCCCTACCAACAGTGCACAGATGTTCCTTTTTTTCCATATCCTCACCAACATTTGTGATTTACCTTTTCAGTACTAGCCATTGTGACAGGTGTGAAGTGCTTTCTCATTGTGATGTTTATATGCTCCTTGGTAATCATCAGGGAAATGCAATTTATGTATCTGATTGCCATCTGTATGTCTTTGGGAAAATGTCTATTAAGATCCTCTGCCCATTTTTTAATTGGATTATTTGGGGTTTCTTGGTGTTGAGTTGTAGAAGTTCTTCATATATTTTGGATATTAACCCCTTAATGGATATATCATTTGCAAATATGTTCTCCATTCAGTAGATTACTTTTTCATTTTGTTGATAGTTTTCTTTGTTGAGTGAACTTTTTTTTTAATTTGGTGTAGTGTCCCTGGCCTGAGAAGACAGATCCATAAATATGTTGCAAAAGCCAATGTCCAAGAAATTACTGCCTGTAGTTTCTAGGAGTTTATGGCTTCAGGTTTCATTTTTGGGTCTTTCATTATTGTTTTGAGTTTATTTTTGTGTATAGTGTAAGAAAGTGATCCAGTTTCATTCTTTTTCATGTGGCTGTCCAGTTTTCCCAGCATCATTTGTTACAAAGGCTGTCTTTTCTGCATTGTATATTCTTGCTTTATTTGCCATTGTTAAATGATGATACAAGTGTGGGTTCTCTAGCCCTCAGTTCTCTGAGTTCTCTATTCCGTTCCACTGATCTGTTTTGTTTTTATCCCTGTACCGTATTGCTTTATTATAATTTTGTAGTATATCTTAAAATCTTTTTCAAGATTGCTTTAGCTTTTGTGGTTCCCTGTAATTTTAATATTATTTGTTCTAGTTCTGTGAAAAATGCTGTTGGTGTTTTGAAAGGGTTTGCACTGAATCTGTACATTGCTTTGGGCAGTAAAATGGCCCTACATTTTAACAATATTTGTTCTTCTAGTCCATGAACACAGAATATCTTTCCATGTGTTTGCGTCATCAGTTTCTCTCATCACTGTTTTGTAGTTTTCAGAGTACAGATCTTTGGCCCCCTGGGTTAAGTTTATTCCTAGGTATTTTATTCTTTTTGATGCAGTTGTAAATGGGATTATTTTCTTAATCTCTTTTTGCTGCTTTGTTTTTAGTGTGTAGAACACAACAGATTTCTGTGCATCAATTTTGCAGCCTGAAACTAAATTTATTTATCAGTTCTAATAGCTTTTTGGTAGACTCTTTAGAGTTTTCTCTCTATAGCATCATGGTATCTGCAAATAGTGACAGTTTTACTTCTTCCATACCAATTTGGATGCCTTTTATATCTTGTCTGATTGCTGTAGCTAGGACTTTCAGTACTATGTTGAACAAAAGTGGCAAGAGTGGAGATCCTTGTCTTTCTGATTTTGGAAGAAAAGCTCTCAATTTTTCACCATTGAACCTGATGTTAGCTATATAATTTTTCTATGTGGCCCTTAAGTTTCTCACATTGTGGAGAGTTTTAATCACAAAGATATTGAATTTTGTTGAATGCTTTTCCACATCTATTGAGATGATCATACGATTTTTATCTTTCGTTTTGTTAATATATGTCACCTTGATTTATTTGTGCATATTGAACAATTCTTACATTCCTGGAATAAATCTCACTTAATTATGGTGAATTATCCTTTTTTTTTTTAAAGTAGGCTTCATGCTGGGTATGGAGCCCAATGCAGGGCTTGAACTCATGACCCTGCAATCAAGTCCTGAACTGAGATCAAGAGTAAGATTCTTAACTGACTGAGCTACCCAGGCACCCCATTGATCCTTTTAATGTATTGTTGAATTTAATTCGCTAATATTTTGTTGAGGATTCTTACATCTATGTTCATCAGGGATATTGGCCCATAGTTTGCTTTGTTTGTCGTGTCTGTCTGGTTTTGGATATCAGGATATCAGGATAATGTGGGACTCGTAGAACATATTTGGAAGCATTCCTTACTCTTCTCCTTTTTGGAATAGTTTGAGGAGAATAGCTATTAACTATTTTGAATACTTGGTATAATTCTCCTGTGAATCTATCTGGTCCTGGACTTTTGTTTAGGAGTTGTTGTTTTTTAAAAATTTTGTGTGTGTATGTCTGTATGTATGTGTATAAGTATGTAATCTCTACACCCAACATGGAACTTGACCTAATGGCCCTGAGATCACGCGTTTCGTGCTCTTCAGATTGGACCAGCCAGATGCCCCTTGGAGCTTTTCATTACTGATTCAATTTCATTACTACTAATTGACATGTTTAGATTTTCCATTTCTTCCTGATTTAGTTCTGGAAGATTATATGTTCTTAGGAATTTATCCATTTCTTTTAGGTTGTCTAATTATTTGGCATATATTTTTTTGTAGTATTATAATCCTTTATATTTCTGTGGTGTTGGTTGTACTTCTTCATTTCTGATTTTATTTATTTGGGTCTTCTCTATTTTGTTTTGTTTTGTTTTTTTTTTTTTTTGATGACTCTGGCTAAGGGTTTATCAATTTTGTTTAATTTTTTCAAAAAAACAGCTCTTGGTTTCATTGATCTTTTCTATTTTTTTAAGTCTCTATTTCATTTATTTTCCTTCTGATCTGTATTACTTCCTTTCTTCTACTAACCTTGGGCTTTGTTTGTCCTTTCTGTAGTTCCCTTAGGTGTAAGATTAGATTGTTTGAGATTTTTCCTGTTTTTTTTTAGGTAGGCCTGTGTTGCTCTTAATGTCTTAGTGTGACTTTCACTGCATCTTAAAGATTTTGGACTATTTTGTTTTCATTTTCATAATTCTCCGTGTATTTTTTGATATCCTTTAAATTTTTTTCATTGACCCATTGGCTGTTTAGTAGTGTGTGCCTTAGCTTCCACGTATTTGTGTTTTTCCAGTTTTTTTTTTTTTTGTAATTGATTTCTAGTTTCATTCCATTGTGGTTGGAAAAGATGCTTGATATGATTTTCATCTTTTTAAATTCATTGAGACTTGTTTTGTGGCCTAACATGTAATCTATCCTTAAGAATGTTCCATGTGCACCTCAAAAGAATGAATGTCCTGTTGTTGTTGTTGTTGGATGGAATGTTCTATATGTATTTATTAAGTCCACCTGGGAAGTCCACCTGCTCAAGTCCACCCGTATTATTGTCGATTTCTCTTTTTATGTTAGTTAAGATTTTCTTCATATACTTAGGTGCTCCAATGTAGGGTGCATAAATATTTATAATTGTTAAATTTTCTTGTTTGATTGATCCCTTATTATTTAGTATACTTTGTCTCTTGTTAGTCTTTCAAAAGGAACATTTAGACCATTTACATTTAAAGTAATAATTGGTAAGTATTTGTTGCCATTGTGTTAATTATCTTCTATTGGCTTTTGTAGTTCTTCTTTGTTTCTTTTTCTCTTGCTTTCTTTCCTTGTAATTGATGACTTTCTATAGTAGTGTGCTTGCTTTCTAATTGTTTATTGTGTATCTACTATAGGTTTCTGGTTTGTGGTTACCATGAGGTTCACATATAACATCCTGAGTATATGGCAGTCTATGTTAAGTTGATGGTCTAAGTTGAACACATTTTCAAAGAACCTCATTTTTACTCCTTGCCTCCCTGTTTGATGTATAATGTTGCCTATCCTACAGCTTTTTATTCTGTGAATCTCCTTTCCTTTCATTATTTTCTTACTTCTAATTATTACCTTTATTTTCCACTTAAAGAATTTTCTTTAACATTTCTTGTAAGATCAGGGTAGTGGGGATAAACTTGGTCATCTGTGACACTGTTTTTCTCTCCTTCAATTCTGAATTATAACTTTGCCAGTTAGAGTATCCCTGGTTATAGGTTTTTTTTTTTCTCCCTTTCAGCACTTTGGATATTTTCATACTACTCCCTCCTGCCATGCAAAGTTTTTGCTGAAAAATCAGCTGACAGCCTTATAGGG